GCAAGAACTTTTCTCTTCCTTAGTGGCCAATAACCTTAAGTATAATTGCAGAAGTATGAGTGGAATTTCAGTATGTGTTTTTGGAAATAGTGAGGTTGCGTTGTGAAGCTTAGGGAATATTATCACTGAGTTTGGGAACTTGGGTAGTTTGCTTATCTGCAGAGGTGATGAATTGGTGGATGGGTTACAGATTGGCTCGTTAGTTCTGGGGACGTTTGTGAGGCCGGGTAGTGCCACGGAGTAAGGTATAAAATAAAAGCAATAAGAGGAGATAAGAAGGAACCCAGTGTGCTAGGAAGTAGTCTGTGCCGCTTTGAATCACCAAAGGCAGGGTAGGGCAGTAGTCTTCTCTGGATGGAAGGTGATAAAAGATTTGTCTTTTACGTCTTCCCTTGCCACTCCCCAACTGTCCACTTTTCCACAGTAAGCATTATTAATTTTTTAAATTTGAATGTATGTATAGCATAGGAAATATAGTCAATAGTATTGTAACTATGTATGGTACCTGTCAGTTACCAGAAATATCAGGGAGAACATGTTGTAAAGCATATGATTATCTAACCACTATGCTGTACATCTGAAATTAATACAAAATAATATTGAGTATAAACTGTAATTGAAAAAAATTTAAATATAATTTACTAAAGATGTAAAAAATAACTTAGAGTAGGATTGATAGATAGTATGCCTTGGAAAAAAGATAAGACTTAAGAAGTCAAATACAGACTTCCTTTCATGATTTATTTTTAAAGGGTCTGATTCTCCTCCACCTACATGTCCGCTCATGTTCTCTCATGTCTAAAATTTTCCTGAAGAGATCTGTTTCCAATATTTCTGATCCCTGTGAAAATATTCCCAAGAGAAGTGATACAGCCCCTGTTCCCAGTTATTTACACCAACACCACCGAGCACGTGGCTCTTCCACGACAACTTTTGGTTTCTCCGAGACCTATAATTTTGGACTTGGAATGTCATATTCTACTAAACTGAAGGTAGCATTTGAGAAGGCTTTACATCTTTAAAAAATAATTTATTTTTATGGCAGTTTTAGGTTTATAACAAAATTGAGCAGAAGATACAGAGATTTCCTATATATCCTCTGCCCCTAGTTTTTTGTCTTGTAAGACTGTAGGCCCAAACTATGGTGGAGGAGCTCTTTTCCACCCTGTCCCAGTCTAAGATTAAAACAGTGAGGTTCTCAAACTTTTATGTTCTTGACCTCACCTGGAGAGGCTTCTGGGCTAGGGCCGTGGAGACCTTCAACAAGACAAGGATCCTGCTCCCGGGAAACTGGATGTGTGGCTACAGTTATGAGAGGGGGCTCAGCTGGGGGTGCTCAGGAGGCTGTGTCCTCTTCCATGGCTCCTGCCCTGTGGGCACCCATCCACTGGTACTCAGTGACCTGACGAAGAACACAGTGGTAGCTGTTCCCTTGAGCCAGAAATGTCAAGATGCTTTTCTGTCTTGGTCGCAGTCTCCCCATCCACCGAGGGGGAGGAGGTGAGAATGAGGATAGAAATGAAAGAATGGGAGACTTGAAGGCGGTGAGACCCATGAATATAGGAGTCACTTCTTTGGGAAAATAGTTTTTTCCCCTGCAAGGTCCCTTTTATAGTTAGATTTTTTTTATTGATATGAACTTCAAATAAGATAAAGGTACCCTTTTAAAAGACTGATTTTAAAAGTGTTTTACCATGGAGATTCTCAAACATATATTAAAGTAGGGAGACTAATATCATGAACCTCCATATACCCATCACTCAGCTTCAGCAATTAAATGTCCACTTCTATACCTCTCTTATCCCCCTTCCTCAAAATGAATTATTCAAGAGCGATTCCCAGCCATTTTATCATTCCAAATAGAAATACTTTGGTATGAATCCCTAAAAAGTAAAATAACTAAAAGGAATAACTCTGGTGACTTATAAATCTTGGTCTTCTTTTCTCATCATTCCTCATGTGTCATTGGACTTTGAATTCAGTAACTTGAGTTCTCGACCTGGTTTTGCCTCTCACCAGCTGTGTGATCAGTGGCAAATCATGTACCTCTCTGGGCTTGAATTTTCCCATTGGAGTGTGTGAAGTAGATGATTTCTAAGGTCTCTTCCAATTCTAGAAATATAAAAAAAATGCAAGTATCATCCTTTAAGCCTCAAGAAACACATGCCATATTTTGGACTATAAGATGCACCCCCTCCCCCCCATTTGGGAGGGATAATGATTGTTAATGCTGCTGTTGAGTTCTGTTTATATTTACATTGGTGAAATATTATGTTATTTATGTTATTAAATATTTTACCACATTTTTTGCTTCAAAAATTTTTTTCCTATTTTCCTCCTCTAAAACCTTTGTACATCTTATGGTCCAAAAATACATGGATTTGGTACAGGATCTGTTTGCCATTTGCTTTCTTGGTGCAGTGCCCAGTTCACAGTCAAGACCTTCCCATGCTTCACATCCCAGTGGCTGCTGAGTGGCAGAATCTTTGACGTGGAGCTTTAAAAAACAAATGAGCCTTGGAGGCATTCCTCAGGATGGTTTTGTGTGCATGTCATTATCTCACGGCCTCAATGCATCTGGACAAGTATTCTGCTGAGTCGTGATGCTGGGAAGGTTCAAGTGTTCCAAATGGATCCTTGTTTTAAAAAGACCATCCTGTCTCAGCTCGTGTAGCTCGGTGGATTGAGTGCCGGCCTGTGAATTGAAAGATCACTGGTTCAATTCCCAGTCAGGACACATGCCTGAGTTGTGGGCCAGGTCCCCAGCTGGGGTGTGCGAGAAACACTGATCAATGTATCTCTTGCACATCATTGATGTTTGCTCGGTCTCTTTCTCCCTCCCTTCCTCTCTCTCAAAAATAAATAAATAAATAAAATATTTTTTAAAAAGACCATCCTAAAGCCTATAGCTAGTAAAAAGTGATGTTTATATAGTTTGGGGGTGCAGGGGGTAAATTACCCTCTTATACAAGGAACTGACAGGTGTCCCGTTACAGGGTAACTATGGAGAAATAAAGATAGCCATTCTACAGGCAAATCAATGGAGTGTAAAGTAGGGTACACTTAAGTTGCCTGGTGAATAAAGGATTAAGTCTGGAATAGAATATGTCTTGAAATTATGGAAAACATGCTTATTGTAGGGGCTAAGGTTTAGAGAAAGATAGGAGTCCTCTTTGGTTAACGGAAGAAACTTTGGGCGAGAAGATGGCACCCAGCCCAGAAGAGCACCACCAATGTGCTTCCCACAGTATGTGTCACGAGCTTTCGTGGGCACCCTCCAGTTTCCCACAGAATCCTCAGAGCCAAGACAATAGGACATGAAGTGCAGGTGGCCCAGCATGTCTCAGCTGGGCAGTGAGGGAGACAAGCTCTGGACCAGGTTTCTGGCCACCGCTGGCATCTGACCCATTCCTCCACAGCTTGAAGAGAACCAGCGTAAGGAAACCGGAGGGAGGCTATTTGAGAAGAAGAAACTTAGTTGTCAGTGTACCAGCAGAAGAGCAAATGCTTTTAAAATCTGCAAAAATATTTTTTTAAATCACACCCCAAAGAAGAAAAAAAATGAAGTACCCAAATGGAAAAAGCCTCCAAAATCACCATTTCAAACACAAGTTTTAATCAGCTCTGACATTTTGCAGGGAATTAATTGAAGTTATTGACAGGGATTATTGTTTTGGTGCCAGGGTTTTAAACCAGGGGATAAGATTAAAAGGAACCAAACTCGAGGGCTGTTCTTTCCAGCTTAAACCAATATTCCGTAGTGGGAAGTTCACTGCACCTGGGAGCTGGGCTTGGTTATGGAGCTCACAGGGGTGCCTGGACACACTTCCAGCTGGAGGAGGGCCAAATGTTCATTCTCAGTGACCCCGTGGACTCGCACCACAGCCCCTCAGAGATTAGATGCCGAGGCCTGTCCTCAGCAGGAAACGGTAAAGGAATCAGCAGGAAGCCGCAGCCAAGGGAAGGGAAACTCCTCCCTCCTGTCAAAGGACTGGACGGAGTGAGGATGAGGTGGCAAGTGGGAGCTGTAGGCTTGGGAAGGGAGCTTGACTGAATCTTGAATGGAAGGAGGAAAAAGCATGTGCCCCAAGGGCAAGAACTGGTGATGGACTGTTGTGTTTATCTCTACCTGGTGATCCTCAGTCCTGCTGAAGTTGCACCATCCCCGGACCGGGAAACGCTGTGCCTCATTCACAGGGGCGGTGGTGGATCCGGTGTTTTCTGAGGTCCAGTAGCCCACTGCGGACAGCCTCCTCTTAATCTTGATTTTCGGCTTATTCAAGGCCAGAGGACCCAAACCTCAAGTTGAAAATTTTTACCAGGAGAAAAGAAGAAAGTATAAATGGCATCAAATCATAAGTACTCAGTGTGAAGGAGCAGAGGAATGCAAAATCATTTTTGTTTTACCTGGTTCTTTGTAACATAAAATATTCTATTCTTGAGCTACAGGGAGAATCTGTGTTTCAATGGGAGAAACTGAGTCCAAGAAGAAGAAACTGATGATCTGGAATCTGACAACACTTTTCTTGTAGATTAGAATTCCGATTTGAAGATTCACTTCTTGAGCTTGGCTCAGGGAGTTATGCTACTCTTGAAGAAAAAGAAAATTGAGAATATCTTATGTGGAAAGTATTCAGTGATGAAAAAGCAGTACCTAGCTCCCTTATCTCATCAACAGTGCAGTGGACGCCAATGCTAGCAATTTCCTGTTTAGACTGTTACCTGAAGAAAGAAAAAACAAACGGTACTGAATGCTGATTCTACTGTGTCAGTGGGAAAAAATTTTCTGACAGGCAAATGGCAAACAACAAAGCTTTTGAAAAGCCAGGCCTGGGGAGAGTAATGCAGTTTCATAATGGGTATGAATAGTTATTTTGCTGCTTTCCTTTTTTTTAATCTTTCTGGTATTTTTTTTTGTTGTTGTGGGTCTCTTTCTATTTGTTCAGGAAATTGTGACGTGTGTTCTGGGCAGGGTCTGAGGTTTTAGAACCCTTCTAAAAGGCGCAGAGAACACCCTGCTACATTTCCTAATCGTGGGGCTGGCGTCCAGGCGGTAGAGCTGAAGCGAGCTGGTCACGATGGGTGTGCTTCTCCCGTGCAGTCGGCTGGCCCTGGCTCTCACCCTCATCCTGGTTTTGGACTCTTCCGTTCAAGGTAAGCCCCTGGACTCGGGTTCTCCTATAATCTTCTTCGTAAGCCCGGGGACCACACAAGTGGTTCCACTCACGTGAAGGTACAGAACATGCTCCACTTGGGAAAGTAGGCAAAGGAGGAGGATTGTGGTGACTGAACTTCTTCCTGTGAGTTCGGTTAAGTCTGATCCCAGGAAATATTAAACTCTTAGGCAGACACAGCCTTGCAAAGTCTTACAATGACTGAATTGCACTACTTGATTTCTGGATGCAAATGTATGGTTTACAAATTTTTAAAAGCTCGGAGAGGAATAACGACCTGTCGCTTGGAGGAGACGGCACCTACAAGGTTTTAGAGCATCTGCCTACCCCCAAGGGTCTGTCTGCATCTGTCCCAAGTTCTACAGTGGTGTCATGATTATTGTAACACTGGGAAGTGCCGGTTTTAATCAGAGAATTTTCTTTTTAGTTTTTAAATGTAAAAATGTGTTTATTCACAATTCTTGAGAAGTCATCATTCCTTCAAAAATTCTTTATGAGCAAAATGCCAAAAAATTACAATAGTATCCTATGCCAAACCAAAAATATACATGTGAAGTACACAAACTTTAGAAAGCATAGCACAGCATTGTGAATGTAGATTGTCTTTAAAATATTTCCCACAACATAGCTACAACTTAAATTATGTTAAGGCATTAATAATAACATTATCTAAAATGTTTACATATTTAAAGTGTCATATTTGTACTTCTTTGAGATAAAAAGATGAAATTATAGATGTCATTACCTAGCACTTCAAATATTGACAGGACCACATGATTATTTTTTTAAGTACAACAAGAACTTTAAGTTACTGTTTTTCTCTGGACCTTCCTATGTTACTGAGAACATGCACTATCATTGTTACCAGAAAAGGAAATTTTAAAAAAAAAACCTAAGGAAAAAAATCTAAAGAGTTTGCTTACTGAAATCATACCAATCCTCAGCAAAATCAAGACAAGAAATTAGGGAGTATCTTTTAATTGATACCTAAACTTCAGAGAAAAGAAGCATTCACTGCATATCACAAAAGTAGTTATATGTATTCATATACTTGTGCTCATTAATGTGTCTTGTATTAAGAGGCAAAGGAAAGCTTAATAAAAATCAAAAGATCCTCTCACACCAGAAAGGATTTTATTTACTTTGAAATACCCATGTTACCCTTTAGGTTTTCTTTTCTGGTTAAATCATGCATAGGGAACATATTCCATGTAAAATCCTTCTGAGACCAGTCATTGGAAATATAAAGTTAAAAAAATTTCACCTAGAAATTTAATGTATCAATTAACTTAAAATCAATATTCACCTATAGTACATGTAAAAAGAAGTGAAAAACTGAAGTCTATTTATTTTCTTCAATGTTATAATCAGAGTAAATTTATGTGTATTTTTCTTCTTTTGTAACTTGGTTCTTACTGAAAATTCAATTATAGTTTGGCATAGTTTATGAAAATCCTCTCAGATTTTAAAGACAGACCAAAGAATTTTAGTATTTGTGCAGTTGTTGCTCAGAGAGACATCACATTTGGAAATTTCTTGTTAGGTTTCTTTGTCATTTAAGGCTGTCTAGTCAGAAACAAAACTTTGAATAACTAAGAAAACAAAAATGATCAGTTTCTAAGGAATATACAACGTCTGCTCTTTCAGTAAATAAGAGACCCTGTGTAAATAAGCCAGGAGGTCACGGCCTGACAAATAGATGGGAGAATTTACATTAGAAAAACATGAAGTTTCCCTAAATCGTAAAGGAAATACTGAGTCACGGTGACACATATGTCCCAGATTTGTTCCTTTGAAGTAACTCCTTCTTTGGCTTTTACTTCTTGCGGAAGTGAAATCGTATAGATGATCTCAGATACATGAATTATGTATTGGCACTTTATAAAGTCATTTTTTCTTGTCGTGCAATCATTGAAGAACACACAGCAAGTAATGTTGCGGAAACTTTTCCGCTAATCTGTTTCTTTTTTAAAGTATGAAACGTTGTTAACTGTAGGGAACAGGCTTCACTCGGATCTTTTAGGGAAGGTCCTCAGCTTGGTGAAGTGGTCCCATGTTCTCACAAGGTCTGGAGCAGAGAGGCGTGTGTTTGCCACGCAGCCTGGAGTGGCCAGTGGTGCTGGGCCCACCCTGGCCAGAACCATGTGAGTCTTTCCATCGTCCAGGGTTCCCAGAAATGTCATGTTCCCCACTGAGATTCAACAAGTAAAACTAGAATTAAAACAGAACTATTCCTATGTAGTGGGTGTTCACCAAAACAAAGTGAAAAGAGAAAGAAACCCTTATGAAATTGTATAACAGACTAGCATTTATGTTCTCACCTGGTAGGTTTAGCTATGGGTTAGAAAAGAAACCAAAAAAGAGAACACAAGCGGAGTGAAAAACTAGGGTGTTTCCAGAGAAGGGCACTTGGTGTTGGAATTAAGAGTTTGTGTCTACTTCCGAGTAAGAAGGGAACTAGACGCCCACCCACACGGCGTGAGTGAGTGAGCGACGGGCGCTCAGGGCTGCCAGGCAAAGGGCCACAGCACCGTGTCACTGTGCAGTCACGTGGTGCCAGCTATGATTCAACAGCATTCTTTCCCCCGCTTGAAAGATTTTTACTTAACCCATTGGTTTAACTGAACTGATCAAACTGACTAGGCTTTTGGCTTTCTTTTACTGAACAAATTCAAAACATCTTAGGTTACTGTGTTAGTTTGCTAGGGCTGCCATAACAAAGTACCACAGGCTAATGACTTCAGCAAAAGAAATTTATTTCCTCATATTTCTGGAGGCTAGAAGTCCAAGATCAAGGTTAATTTCATTCTGAAACCTCTCTCCTTGGCCGATAGCTGGCTGTCTTATCTCTGTATCTTTACTTGGTCCTTCCTCTGTATATGTCACGTCCCAGTCACCTCTTCTTATAAGGACACCAACCACCTTGGATTAGGGCTCATCCATATGACCTCATTTTACTTTAATCACCTCTCTTAAGGCCCTGTCTCCAAGTACAGTTCCATTCTGAGGTACTGGGAGTTAGGACTTCAACACACAAATTGGGGGACACAACCCAGCCCATACCTGTTACTATGAGTCAAACCCAGGTAGAGACATGGTGTAACACTGTCTGCCGAATCAAAACCATGGAAGACTGGCGATGTGTGGGAGACCCTGGAGAGCACAGGGGGTGGATCCATTTAAAGTAGAGAGCTCTAGGGGACTGATTCCTGATGAAGCCTGTAAATCCTAAACCCTTTCGTTGCCTCTTTTTTGAAGATACCCATAAAGGGAGAAACTATAAAATCCATGAGCAGGTGTGGTGCAGGGGGTCAGGGCCGGAGCACATGTCCACTCCACACTGTCTCCTAGATCATAGTAACGATGGCGGTCCCACCCCGTGTGCCCCCATTTGGTGGCAGTGGGTTTTCACATCCATTCCCTGGTAAATGATCGCCACGTTCTCTGTGAGGAGGACTCAACACCGATGCAGAGGGCAGAAAACTGGATCATACGCTCGTCATCTCATTTGCTCTTTACATAGAACTTTTGCAAATAATTTCTGAGACTTGCCCAAGGCCCATTACAACTAATTAATGGCAGAACTCATCTAATTTCAAGGTCAGTTAACTTTCTACTACAATTTGGCCATCTTCATGGTGAATTGGAGGTTTTCTGTATTTGCAAAAAACCTTGCTTTGACTAGAAATTGAAAGTAAACATGACACTTTATATAGCTTGTAAAACCACTCAGGGTGGGGACCCCTCTCCGTGTTGTAGAGCTGACTGGTCAGTGGGAAGCAGCTTCAGCTTAGACAGTGAGGTCTGTTCAAATGCTGCCAAATGGTGAATCAGAAGGGTCTTTCCCCCCCTCCTCCCACGGCAGTTTCTGCTTAGGCTGCTCTAACACACCTGCGGCAAGTCCCCATTACAACAGGAAATTAGTAAATCTTGATGATGTTGGGGGGAAATTGGTACTGCAATATAAAAAGGTACAGAAAGCTTAGTGGGGTTGAGTTATTTGCTCTGGTAATGTTTATTTATAGAAAGTATTTTGGTAAAGCGGGAGTAGTGACAGAGAGAGAAGAGGGGCAGTGGGCAATGAGGGAAAAGGATTCTAAGTAAAAACCATTCTTCGCCCCAGAGTCCACAACAAAATCAACCAGCAGATCCAGTAAGTGAGGTCTTTTAGGAAGATAATCGATCTTTCTGTTCACAAGCATACTCCCTTTTATTTTTTACAATACAGTAACCATAAAATATTTCTCTTAAGCAAGATAGCATCAAGAAACTCCCACAGCATCGGAGGCTGGAACTGTTGAGTTTTCACATCCTGCCGACACCCTTGGAGAGTTAGGTCCGGGGTAGTGTGTCTGTGCCTGTGTTCTTTATTTTAAAGTAGATTTCCAAGCATCAGTCCCAAATCAAATAAACTTTTGGAGTGGGGGGTCACTTCTACCTTTAATTTCTTTGTAAATCTTTAAACAGGTTTATTGAGATAGAGCTCACATTCCAAACAATTCACCCATTTAAAGGGAAAGCCTCCCATTCAGTGGTTTTTAGTGGATTCACAGACGCACACAACCATCCCCATAGTTGGCTTCAGGATGTTTCATCAGGCCCCCCCCCCCAAAAAAAATAAACCCCCTTTATAAATTTTAAAAGCTGAGATTCTGAACTCTGGGGAAAAATTTGTATTTTAGATTTTTAAAAATTAATTTATCAAAGTTTTATTTGTTATAACCAGAGAAAATATGTGGTCAATCACCTAGTTCCTCCTCACAAACTATGAGATTTCCTTTCTGTTGCACTTTCTATCTCTGTGAATAGTTCTTTGGCTCGGTACCTAGTGCATCACCACACACGGAGAGGACTGCCTGGACCTGCTCTGTCCTAAACGGTAGTCACCAGCCGCTCGTGACTACTGAGCTCTTCAAATGCGTATGATGCAGCCGGTCCAAACTGAGATGTGCTTTAAGTGCAAAATATTACACCAGATCTGGTCTTAGTATGAAAAAAAGAATGTCAAAAGCCCACTAATAACTTTTATATTGATTATATTAAACAACAATATTTGAATATGTTGGTTTAAATAAAATGCATTAAAATGAGTTTCACTTGTTTCTTTTCACTTTTTGAAATAGGGCTGCTATAACATTGAAAATTCCACATGTGGTTTCATCTTCTGTTTCTATGGGACAGCATTGGTCTAGACCAGTGATTTTCAGCCTTTTTTAGCTCATGGCACACATAAACTTAATTGTCAAAATTCTGCAGCACACCAAAAAACATTTTTTGTCAATCTACAAAAAATAGGTACAATTTTAATTCATTCACACCAGATGGCTGTTGTGTTGCCTGTTGTCATTTTTTTTTATTAAACAATCTAGGGGAAAAGAGGTCAGTGCCCCTGATTAAATAGTCAGGTACTGCATGTTTTAAAATTCTTGCCATACACCCATGGAGAATAAATAGCTGGTCTAGACAATATAGGGTGTGAATATAGCGCCCTCTGCTGGAGACCATGTTGCTCTGTCACCTACAAGATCAAGCTTGTAAGTAGTAACTAGATTCCAAGTTTAAGCTGCTTTGGGAAAGAATCAAAGGAGAAAGAAAGAGCTAAAATGTATTAAATACCTACCATATGCAAAGGCTTGTGCTAGATGTTTCACCAATGTTTATCTTGCTTAAATAGGAACCCTTTGGGATACTATTTTTCACACTTGAAAGATGAAAAATTGAGAACCAGAGAGAGAGGCCTTAAATGGTAGAACAATAATTTAAATTCTGGTCTCTCTACAAGCTATTCTCCATCAGAGATAGGTCTTTGTTCTCCTAACCAGAGAAACTAGCTCTTAAAGAGTTATGCCCACGGTGCTATCCTAAAGACCTGATATTTGCATCTCATCATTGGGTCTACTATTGTCCCCATTTTATGGATGAGACAATTGAAGTATAGGGAGGTTAAGTAAGTTAGTCAAGGACACACAGCTGGTAAGGGGCAGACATTGTGATGCCATCTTGCTACCTTACCCCCCACCTCCAGGCGGAGACAGAGCTGACCCCTCATCAGTGACAAGCTGTCCTGGACCTGACATTGTTTTGGGACCCGTGGGGAAGACTGTGATAGGATGGTGATTCTGAAGGAAGGAAGGAAGGAAGGAAGGAAGGAAGGAAGGGAGGGAGGGAGGGAGGGAGGAAGGACAGTGAAGAATATTTACCTTTTTCTACATTAGAATCTTGCTTTTTGTTTATATTTTTAAAGAAATATTGTTTACTATAGCAATTTAGAAAATAAATGAGAAAAAATCCTCAGTCTATCGCTAGTTATTTTTGTGTATTTTCTCCCATTTCCTTTCATATCTGTTTATGTAGCTACATGAACTATTACACACACAGAGTGCTATTCTGTTTTTTCCATTCATTTTAAAATATAGATTTTCCTATGATGTTAGATAGTCTTTTTCCATAGCCAACTACTTTTTTACCATTTGGTTAACATTGTCTCATATGAATGCACCATAATTTATTTGAGTATTTTCTTTTGATTACTTAGTTATTTCCTTGTTTTGAACAATAGAACAGTTTCATATATCTTTTATATTTATGTATATATTTTTCTATAGATACATGTATATCTTAATGATATAATAACTTGTTATATTTATGAAATTAGTCAGAAATGCTAGCTAGACAAAAATCGTGGATAGAGATAATAGACAATCAGCAGGAAAGGGAACATAATAGGGAAAGAGGACATTGTGAAAAAGTTAACTGGTTCTGCAGTCTCTTAAGAACAAGTTTGTGGCCATTCCATTGAGATGTGATGTGAACCTGACCTCAGAAGAGGCTCCACTTTTCAACCTGATACTTGCTGTCAGAAGAGAATAGAACACAACTTGTGCACACTCTCCTAGAAGCACAGACACTGAGGGGAAAGAAAAGCAAAACTCCCAAATCCATGAGCTCTGGAGAGTTGGATAATAAGATTAGTGGTAATTTTCCCTTTCGTTTGCTATGTTTTTCAAAGTTTTACTTTGGGGTGTGCTGGATATGTCCATACCCCTGATTGTAGTTGTGGCTCCATGGGAGTGCACAGAGGAGGTCTGTCCAGGAAAAGTCCAGCCACTGTTAATATAATGAGAACAGTTTGTGTGACACTGGTGTAACCTGGCAGCCAAGGAGAGTGGACTGGAATGCACATGCATGAACAATGACAATTCACTGTGCTAGTCAGTGAGGGCAGTAGACCCCATGTTGAGTGAGCATGGGTACTGTGTGGCTGTCACATTCAAAATGAGTGAGTAGAGCAACAAATCTGCATCAAATTTTACGTTAAGCTTGAACATTGCTCTGTGGAAACTCTTCAGATGATTCAGAAGGTCACAGCTACGGGCAACTGGTGACTGGCAGCTTCATCACAACAATGTGCCCGCTCATGCATCACATCTTGTGTAGAGTTTTTTGGTGAAACAATAAATCACCCAGGTGACTCAGCACCTGGGTGACCCAGATTTTGTGCCCTGACTTCTGGCTTTTCCCAAAACTAAAATCACCTTTGAAAGGGAAAAGATTTCAGACTGTCAGTGAGATCCAGGAAAATACAACAGGGCAGCTGATGGCAACTGGGAGAACTGTGTGAGGTCCCAAGGTGCCTACTTCAAAGGGGACTGAGGCGTCATTGTCCTGTGTACAATGTTTCTTGTATCTGGTATCTTCTTCAATAAATGTCTCTATTTTTCATATCACATGGCTGGATTATTCTGAACAGACTTCATATGTCAAAACATTATATTGTATGCTTTAAGTACATTCAGCTAAGTGAATGTCAGTTCCACCTTAATGAAGCTGTTACAAAATAAAAAACGTTTTTTGAATACACAATGCATACATATGGCTCAAAAATCAAAAAGTTCACAAGGAGATGCAGTGAAAAGCCAGTGTTCTCCCAGCCTCCAATTCCCTCCACAAAGGCAATCAGTTTGCAGTGCATCTTTTCTGAGGTGTTCCGTGCGGTAAACATTTATGTGAATGTGTTCTTAAAAACACAAACATACATAAGTGGTGATAGACAATGCGTAGTGTTTGTTACTTTTTTTCTTAATAATATACCTTGGAGATCATTGCATAGCAGTACCCAGAGAGCTGCTTCATTCTTTTTATGACTGTATAGTATTGTAAGCTGTACCTTAATTTATTTAACATTTAATTTTCTAAGCTTTTGCTATCGTAAAAAATGCTTCAGTGATTGTGCACAGCATTGTGTGTTTTTTTCCCTTAAATAGTTATTATTGTTTACATTTCGATCTGTACAGGACAGCAGTGTGCTGGCCTTTAAAACCATCTTTCCTGCTTTTTAAGAATTTTATGTCAACTATAATTAGAAAAAGAATTTTCAACATGCCCCTTCTTGTTAGGTGATTAGTTGCACTTACATGTGTGCTTGGGTGAGGAGGAGATGAACCTTTTGAAGGGTGAAGTATTTCTTACCACTATCCTTGTTAAATTGAGGAATGAAGAATTTAATGAATTAATTAGGGATCTCCTATACAATCTCAAAACACCAGATTTGGAGCCTTTTGCACAGAAGTGAAACTCAAATGAAGCTATGATAGATGAGGGCATCCCAGCCTGTCTGTCCCTCCAAGAGAAGCCTTGTTCTTTTGAAATCTCTGACTAGATAGGAGGGCAAAAGAAAAAAAAAAAAGGCCAAGTTTTTGTCTACTTTTCCTTCTTAAAAACACTATGTTGCCCTAAAGAACGAGGCCTCTGTAATATGCTGGGTACATTCACTATATTCCTTAACCTTCCTAAACGTGACTGGACTCATCTCTAGGAGCACAGACACGTTTGGGGGTCAGACACAGGTTCGAACCCCAGGCCCCCTGCTTAGCACTTGTGCGACCTCAGTTCTCCTCTGTGTAGATGGAGATAATGGTGCAAACGTAATAATGGTTAGTATTATCAGGTGTTTACTGTGTGCCTGGAACTATGCTAAGGTCTTTACCTGCATTTCTCATTTAATTTTTGTGACCAGCTTATGAAAAAGAGACACCGTTCGCCTCTTGGCTTTATGGGGAGGGCTCAGGGAAGTGAGAGTTCCACAGGTCATCAGTGGCAGAGCTGGAGCTGATCGCCAGAGCCTGCTCCAACCTTGAGCTCCGGGCTGCTTTGTAAGGGTGTTGTGAGAAGGACATGCGGTGCACATGAAAGGCCGGTACGCTGGGTGCTCCTGTTATATTGGTGGTCAGGAAACCTCGCCACACCTTGCCTTCTACCAAGTCTAGAGTCTGCTTAATTAAACATTTCTTGGGGGCAGAGGGATTAGAAGCTCTGTAAGAGATGATTATTCACCACGTGCGTTGTTTGTTTGGGCAGGTTTACCTGCGCGGAGAGCCAGGTACCAGTGGGTCCGCTGCACTCCCGACAGTATGTTTGCAAACTGCATTGATGAAAAGGGCCCAGTGTTCGACTCACCTCCGGGTGAATCCAACAGAATCCCCCCTCCGAGGACTGACCCTTTTTCGTAAGTGGACTTGCCCTCTTTCGCTTTCACCAGTCTCTGCTGGGGTCTCCACAGGGAGGTGGGAGGGGTGTCCAGGGTGTGTCTTCAGGCTCTTGCTTTGACATTTGGTTTTCACTGCACAAGGCTGGGTAAAACTGCGCTGTACCAGCTGGTGGATGAGGCGCATAGGAATACACGGTTCGGGTTTTCTTCCGCAAAGTCTCTTTATCGTGGCAGAGACGAAATTGAGGGAAGGATTTGTGATAATTGGTGAAAATATTTTTCATCAATAGGTATTGAAAATGATTGAACACTATTTTATTTGTGTAAATTGAGCACAGTAAATACTAAAATCCATTAAAAGTCCATCAGTCTAATGTACACACAGAATGCAGTGTATCCTGAGGTGTGATGTTATTTAATAACAAGAAGGGATGAAGTATTGGCATCTGCTACTGTACCGTCTGGGTGCATCCTGAAAACATTATGCAAAGTGAAAGAAACCAGACACAAAAAGCCACATATTCTATGATTCCATTTATAAAAAATGCCCAGAATAGAAAAATCCATAGAGGCAGAAAATGGATTAGTGGTTGCCCCGGGCTGGGGGGAAGTGAGGGATAAAGAGCAATTCAAAAATTGCTAATAGGTATTGGGTTCTTGAGGGGGTGATAAAAATGTTCTGGAATTAGGTTGAAGTGATTTTTTTTAAAGGATATTAGAGAAAGGAAGAATAAATGGCTATGACTTACAAAAAGAAAACCAAACCTCTCTTCTTGATTAAATAAAACCTGCTTTACATTTGCAAAAGAAGTTCAGGAGGAACTCATAAGTAACAAAAAAGTGAATTGCATTAGAATCCATTATTTCAATGAATATCAAAATTACATATCACACAGCAGAAGTGAATTATTAAAAGGATTATCATAAAAGTTTTAATCCTTAGATTTAAACCTAGAAAATGCCAAAGCCAGGCATTTCTCCTCAAAGCCAGGTAAATCATCTCACCCAAACCTGGCGAGTCCAGCAGGGCCTTCGAGAGGCTGCTGCTGGCCGTCTTCATCGCTGTGCTCACAGGAGAAGAGACTCCATCATCGCCACCCTCAGAATGAAATTCTGCAGTCCTGCCCCATATTTTTGCTCTAAGACCCCGGTTGGACTTGGACTGTGGCAGCTTCTGAGGCTTCTCCTCCTGTGCTGGCTGCACTGTCCCCACACATCTGCTCCAGGACCCCAGTTCTGTAGTTACCCCTCTGAACCTGGCATGTGCCTCCCATCAGTGTGCGGACACTAGCTTGTATCTCCTACTTTCAGATAAAATCCCTTCCTTGACTGCATCCTCTCGCACTTCCCAGCAGCTCTGCCTGAGGGTAGCCTGTGCTTGCTGTCTCCCCCCCCTCTCCTTGACCCCTCCTGCTTGGACTTTCTACCTTCCACCCAGTGAGCTTGTTAAGATCACAGTGACTCCTGACAGCGCCACTGGTTCCTTCTCTGTTTAGCTTACTTGAGTTCTTAAATGCCTTCAAAAACAAGTGGATCACCTGTCCTTTGAAATGCTTTCTTCTCTGAGCTTGCATGGCCCCACCTTATCTTGGGTTTCCTTCTGTGTCCCTGGCTGTTCTTTTCTCCTCTGCTCAATATTTAATATGTTGGTGTGGCCCTGGCTCTGTCCTGCGCCTCTTCTCTATATGCATGCTTTCTTTGGTGACCTCATCCTGTTCCCTGGCTCTTAATACTGTGTGTGTGTTGTGTGAAAAACCACCAAAGCTGTGTTTCCTGCTCTGACCCCTTTTCCCTGACCCCACAGTCTAAACTAGCCCCCTGGTCACCCTCTATTGCATTACTATACTTCATTTTTCTGCAAAGCATCTAGCACAACCTAATGTTTTTCTGATTTATTCACTTTTAATTGTCTGTCTTCCCCACTAAGTCATAAACTTCTTGCATAGGGATCTCATCTGTTGGTCTTCATTCTATTCCAGGTACTCAGAACAGAGATCAGATATTCAGTAAATATTTATTGAATGCATGCATGACTCAAACTCTAATCTGTTGCATGGCCTGTGGTTTATCATTTTCATGGAGAAAAAGACCCATAGGCTCTGACATTCAACGTTTGTCTCTGAACGTTGTTGCCTTCTTTTGCTACTGAGGGGTGGCACCATTGCTCCAAACTTCTGATCTGAGTGAATTTCTAACCAGCATGCAAAACCCAGCTGAATGAATGCACTTATTTTTTTAGAGGAAATTGAATGTGAATATACTGGCAAATATAATGCTTAACTTGTCCCAATGAATTTCTTACAGAGGGCTTTGTTGAAGCACTGTGAATTATTAGAAGTTTTGTCAAAATTCTAAAATAGGAAGGGATGACATCAATCTAGGTTGACTTGTTCGTTCTTTCTTTAGTGGGAGAAAATGGAAAAGAGAGTCTTTTTTTTTTTTTTTGAATAAAGGATCCCTTAAGTAAATTCCAAATATAGGATTGCTATGCTAGTGATAAGAAAATCAGCATTGTTCATATGAATTTGCAATACATAGATGTGGAATTGATCAATGCAATGGGTTGCATAAAATATGCATAGGTGAACATGAGAAGGTCAGACTTATTTTTTGTTTCAAAGCATTGAGTAACTGGGAAATTTTAAACTTTTAATTTGATTAATTGGATGACTGCATTTATTTTCTTATCTTAAAACATGTATTCAATTATCTTTTTTATATCTCCAATTTCACTGTGGTTTTTTCATTTTTCTGTCTCACTTCAGAATGGCAAGCACTCAGAACTTGAATGATGTCTTCCCTCTTTCTGAGGACTATTCTGGCTCTGGCTCTGGCTCAGGATCTGGAGGCGACTTCATGATGGGAATGGAACATGAATACCAACCAGTAGATAAAAATGATGCTTTTTATTATGACTATAAGCCTGTGTCCTCAGACAACCCGGACTTGGGTCAGAATGGACTAGAAGAGAATTTTATTATGTAAGAAAGAGTGTTCCCGCCTTGACACCAGGCAATGCATTTGGCGTATTTTGTGTACCATAGCAAAATGATTAATTTTTGGACAGAAAGTTTTATAGAAATTTTAAAACATCTGATTTATTTACTTTTATTGTCTGTCTGAAAAAGAAGTTTAAGTTTTATCACCTTTTTTTTCTCATGGATTATTAAAGCCTCTGTTATCTATACTATTTTCCTTATACTTGCGTTTCCTTATATTATATTCAGCCAACATCACTGTGAAAGTAACTAGATTCCAAATGTCTATAAAATTGCTTTAAAGACTAAATTGTACTGTTTTTCTTTTTAAAAAAATCGGTTTGAGAAGCAAATTGACCGGCAGTATTTCATACCTAAGTCTTCAGGAACCTGACTCTAATTTTGAATTATAGATATACCCTATTTTTAATTAAAAAAAAAAACAGATGAAACACACAATGAATTTACAGAGTGGGTATCTGACATTCTTACAGTGGAAAGTGCGCAGCTCTCACATTACCACTGGCTGCGTCTGCAGAGTGACTGGACGTGGTTTGTTCAGAAGCACAATTGCTGTTACCATGACAAACTTAGGCCCAATTCACAGCGCAGTTGTGCTCTCAGTACCTCGCATGCTTTACCTTTCTCCCCGATATCTGTGTATTTTCCAATGTTATCCTATTAAAGCATAAGTATAATCAAAGGGTTAAGCTGTCTGGAATTTTTTGTTCTAAATGCAGGATAATACTTATTTTTGTGCAAACATTTTATTAACAAAATATCTACATTTTGCTATAATGAGATCAAACTTTGTAACTAGAGTCAAATCCTATTAACTAATAGATGAAGAAAACAATCATACTATATAGCAAGAGGGTTATTCTTGCCCAAGCACTTCCTCTTCTTGAGGGCGATTCCCATTTCTGTTTCCTCTAGTTCAGGGGGCCTGTTGCTTTGATTGTCATGGACCCTGATCTGCACCGTCCAGACCTATTCAGAACTGAGGACTCACATTAATCTTTGCTACAGAGAGCCACCCGTCCAAGGCCACACCTTCTTCTTAGGGCAGCCTGTCTCAATGACTGGTTGCTGTAGGCATATGAATGTGAGGCTCCTCCCCTGAATTTGGGAGCAATTTAGACGGGCTGTCATGGATTCAGAGCTCCCTGAGGGGTCTGCTGAGTCTGTTAGCACTGCTTTGCAGCTCAATTTCTTCCTTAGTCTTGCTTCCTTCCATTCCCCTCACAGCTATGCCCCCATAGAAACTTTCCGCACTCTAGTTTTCATCAAGAATTTGCTGCACAGAGAATCCAACCTGTGACAAAATGGGATTTTGGAGCTAAATCACCTGCTGCCTGGCTGTCAATGAGAACCCCACTTTGGCCATAGATGCAGCACAGGCACAGAATAGCATTGCAATTGTTAAAACTTCCACTGAGGATGAACTGGGATGGTGTACCAGTGGAAGGAAGTGTTCCAGGGTGTGACGTATCAGGTATTTGAGAACTCTGGGGATGTAGGAATGATAAAGACAATGGTATTAGATAGCTATTGCTGGAGGCAATTAATGCTTTTAAAAGAGACAATGAGCTCTCATTGGTGTGGCTCAGTGGATTGAGTGCCAACTTTTCAACCAAAGGGTCACTGGTTCAATCCACATAAGGGCACATACCTGGGTTGTGGGCCAGGTCCCCAATGAGGGGCACGTACGTAAGAGGCAGCCACACATTGGTGTTTCTCTCCCTCTCTTTTTCCCTTCTTGCCCCTCTCTCTAAAAACAAATAAATAAAATCTTAAAAAATATAAAATAAAAGAGACAATGAAAGGCTACGGATGATTAATTAAAGGTTAAATGGGAAAACTAGTGGGCCTCCTTGGCAGCATATTAAGAAACTCTTCTTCAGTGGAAGGGCAGAGAAAGCTGAGGACCAGGTCCAGGATGTAATTATAAGAATATCAGAATTCAAAAATGTTTCATTGTCAACCTAGCCAAGTTGATTATACAAGGTCAGGGCCCAGATTGGGGAAAAAAAAAATGGGACCCTGAGAGATAAGAACATTTGGAATGATACATTCAGATTTTAAATTCCCAGATTTCCTCAAACCCTTGTACTCTATAGAGGACCACTCTTTAAGAACTAATGATTTCCTTTAGCTTGAAGGTGATTAAGAGACTTCTGCCCTTCAAGACCACATGCATAATCCCTTAAGGTATGTCCACACCTTCCCTCCTACCCACTAGATCAATAACTAAAGTTAAAAAAGAAAAGAAATAGGAAAGTGTTGAACCTGCTAAAGAGGGAAGGTAGCACACTCTGAAGGTTCTGCAGGACCTGTCATGTACCTCAGAAGCAAGGGTAGTATCTATGCGACTTAAATCTAAGAGTGCTAGATCACGGGAAGAAGATATAAAACATGAAGTTGGACAAGGCAGTGTTTACCAGTATTACTGGACTAAAGGTGTTTGCCAGCATGCATCACAGACCGATACGACACACACAAGAGCTTGCAGCAAAGAAAGTAAGGGTTTATTAGTTGAGGAAGTGGCCCACATCCGGAGTCACAGGTGAGCTAATGCTGCAAGACCTAGCTTCCTGATGGCTTCTAGGGGATGGTTCATACAGGGGAAAATCATTAATTATGGTGACCAATGGAGTCAGTGTTGCGGTCAGGGTCGGCATGTCTACTGGTTAGTCAGCACTGGGGTATGAGGCAGTTGGTCATTGCATCTGGTCCTGATAACAGCCATGGCATCGCTTCATCTGGTTTCACTGCTTTTCTGAGCCTGGAGTTGGAATACAACTGGAACCTAGACATTATCTTTACTTTGATTGAAATGCTGTCTCTGGTCAATAGACCTGAGGCTTTGTTCCTAAGATTATTTGATGCCACCAGGTGCTTGCTGTCCTGAGGGCTTAATGATTAAGAGAGTGGACATGCAAGGGAGAAGGAAGCAGGTGAGTGGGGATGCTGAATGAGGCACTGAATCCAAAGGGAATAAAGGAGAAAAAGTCATATTAGAGAAATAAAGTTTCTGCATGGATACACCAATATGGAAGGACTCTTTTAGCATACAGGTTTTAACACCCTGGCAGAACCCCAGGAGAAGGTGTTGACATGCTGCTAGAGCGGCTCGTAGAAGGTTGGAGAGAGTAACAGCCCCTCTTAAGTAAAGTAGAAAGGCTAGAACTGCCATGGAAGGAAGTGGAAGAGGGGTCAGAGGTTTAAGGAAGTGAGTGTGCTGGGATGCACAGACTGCATAAGCCTTGAAAACCCTCGAGGTGACTTTGTTCTGTAGGAAGTCCAAACAATGAAGAATGTGCTGGTGAGAGAGACAGCATCTCTGAGCTGCCAGTAGTAACCCTCCTCTGAAGGGGAGGGTTGATGGTATAGATGTCACAGAACTGGGTTTTCTAATAGCAATGGGAATGATAAGTCCCCAAAATAATAGAGGCCAGCAGTATTCTCAGCCATCAGAAGCCAGGTGGTACAATGATCATAATAAGCACCAAAGTTAGAATGAAATCCAGGAGAGCCTGATGGGCAAAGAGCTATGGACAGGGCCTCCCTAGAAGTAAAATAGTTGGTAAGAGTTCTGCATCAAATTACAATGTGTGTTGGAGAATGTGGGGCACCTCACCCCAATCAGCCAGTCTCCAACAGTAGCCAGGTATCTTGTAATTTACCTCAGTTCTGAACTGCCTACCTATAGATAGCATCAGATTCCACAGCTTACGGGCTCAGTCCCATAGACTGCTGCTCTCCAATCACAATGGTCATTTTTCCAGTCCCCACGTTATAATTAGGGTGGACATACTTGGCAGTCAGCATAACTTCCATGTTGCTTTCTTGACCTGTGAGAGAAGAGCTACTGTGATGAAGAAGACCAAGCAAAAACTTCTACCACTACTCCCCCCATATCCACCAATAAATAAAAAACATTTCGTCTGGGTGGGAATGTGGGAGATGAGCAGTGCCTTTAAAAACCTAACAAATGCAAGGATGCTGGTCCCCAGTGTATCTCCATTTAATTCACCAGTCCAGGTCTTGAAAAAACCAGGTGAACCCTGGAGGACGACAGTGGACTATCACAAATTCAACCAAGCAGTACTCTAATTGCAGCAGCTGTGCCAGATGTGGAACTTTGGCTGGGGCAGACTCGCACAGTGTCAGGTATGTGGTAGGCAAGCCCTGAGCTGGCAGGTGCTGTCTTTTCCATCCCTGTCAAAAGGAGGATCAGAAACAGTTTATGTTCTCTTGGGTAGGACAACAGTATATATTTATAGTCTACTCCCAGTGCCAGGCTAACTCTTCTACCCTCTGTCATGATGATACAAAGAGACCTGGACGGCTGCACATTTCACAGAATATCACGTAAGTCTATTGTATAACAGGGTCGTGAGTGTGTGACCAGATACCCCACCTCATCTACCACTGATGCCCTGATAGCTCTCCTTCAGCTCACATCTGTGACTATATGGTGGAAGGGTATGTGGGTTCCTTACGACCAAATGACAGAGTAGGAATAAGGTCAAGCTTGGTTCACAGATGCACTGCCCTGGTGTGCAGGTGCAGGTCCAAAGTGGATGGCAGTGCCCATCAGGAGTGGCCTTGGGCATAGCTATGACAGGAAACCCTTCTGAAGTGCAGCGCTTCAGAAGCTGTACCCGGTCACTTACTCTGCATGGAAAGAGAACTAGCCCAACATTAGAAAACGGAGTTTTACGGGTAGTGGTGAATGTTTTGGTCAGTTGGTTAGGAGCCTGAAATAGAAAGATTAGAAGTTTGGGGACTAAGAAGTCTGGGATAAAGACATGTGAATAGACCAATTACAGAAGATAGCAAAGTGTGAAAATCTTTTTTCTTTAAAGATCTTATGCCCTGGCTGGTGTATCTTAGTGGATTGAGCGCGGGCTGCGAACCAAAGTGTCACAGGTTCGATTCCCAGTCAGGGCACATACCTGGGTTGCAGGTCATGACCCCCAGCAACTGCACATTGATGTTTCTCTCTCTCTCTCTTTCTCCCTCCCTTCCTTCTCTAAAAATAAATAAATAAAATCTTTAAAAGATATTTTATTTATTTTTAGAGAGATGGGAAGGGAAAGAGACACAGAGGGAGAGAAACATCAATGTGCAGTTGCCTCTCGAATATCCTCCACTAGGGACCCAGCCTGCAACACAGGCATGTGCCTTGACTGGGAATCAAACCGGTGACCCTTTAGTTCACAGGCCGGCACTCAATCCACTAAGCCACACCAGCCAGGGCCCAGAAAATCTTTATCAAATAATAATATCCATCAAAAAGCATCCATCACTGAAGAGGCTCTAAACAACCAGGTAGACAAAATGACAGGGGCAGATGTCAGCCAGCCTCTGTCATGGACTGCCCTAATGCTAGCCCAGTGAATGAGTGGGGGTGGGGGGAGCCATAATGGCAGGAAAAAGGCTACAAATGGGCTCCCACTAACCAAGACTGATCTAGTTACTGCTGTTGCCAAGTGTCCCACATGCCAGCAACAAAGTTCATTGCTGAACTACTAATGTGACACCATTCTTCAAGACCTTGGTGGTAAGTTGCCTATTAGTCTCCTTCATCCTCGAAGGGGGGAGGGTATGGGGGGGAGGGGGAGGTGGGCAGGGCATACATTTGTTCCAATAGAAACAGACATATGTTCTAAGTATGGATTTGCCTTTCCTACCAAC